TGGCTGTAATTCAGACAATTTTTGAGACAGGAAAAAAATTTGTTTATCAAAGTTGCTTAAAAAAAATAATTCTATTGAAATCTGGTGTTGAAAATAGGTGTTGCCATTTAAAAAAATGTAAGTTTTATTGCGCATGTGCACAATAAAAGAATTAAAAATTCGAAAATGTTTACAAAATATGTATTTTAGTATTCCCTAGTTCCTCGAAAAAACCCCGATTCAATCCAAGGTCACTGAACGGAAATATTTCGTGTTAATATTTGAGTGAAACACACTGTATAATATTATATTCACTGGATATGCACTGAATCCGACTACATAATAAATATGTGAGCCGAATATATATATTACTATTTTATCTATTATCTAAACAAAATAATATTCGATTCTCGTATAGTATACATATAAGTAAAAATTAAATTTATTCGTGTAGCCGTGAGCCACTGTTTAGCAACGTATAGGGGTTGAAAAAATAAGGTAGAACACTCCTCAAGTCTCTAGGAATGTATTGATATAACTTTTATTAAAAACAGTTCTATATAGATTATAGTTCCTGAATCTATAGAGGACAAAGAATTAGACGACATTCGTTTTTATGGGTCGATCTATTTTACTGATCTGCCGATTTACTAATTTACTGATTTAGCATGGGTAAACAAAGTCCGAATGAGTTCAAACTCCACAAGTGCCTTTATAATACCCCCATACAACCCCTACCAAATTCCAGTTTGCTCCATCGATTTTTACCTTCGGGTTACTTGTCGCAGAAATATCACAAACCTAAAAACTTAACCAAAAATTTTGAAATTTTTTACGCGCCGCCGTTCAGGAAATGTGCTGATTTGCTCTAAAACCCGTAATACTTTATAAAAAATTATGAAATTGTTTACACGGTATGAGTTGTACCATAGTTAAATACCTTGGAAATTTCAAGTGCCTACCTCAAAAACCCATGCCATGTAAAAAATTTCATAATTTTTTATAAAGTATTACGGGTTTTAGAGCAAATCAGCAGACTTCCTGAGTGGCGCGTGATTTTACTGATTTGATTATGTGTATAAATTACTGAACTGCGTTATAACTTCATGGGTTTTCGAGGTAGGCACTTGAAATTTCCAAGGTATTTAAATACGGTACAACTCATACCGTGTAAAATATTTCATATTTTTTGGTTAAGTTTTTAGGTTTGTGATATTTCTGCAACAAGTAACCCGGAGGTGAAAATCGATGGGGCAACCTGGAATTTGGTAGGGGGTTTTAGGGGGTATCATAGTGGCACTTGTGGAGTTTGAACTTATTCGGACTTTGTTTGCCCATGTAACGGCCATTATGGCCCCAAATCAGTAAATCAGAAAATTAGGCAGTACGTATTAAATATTTAAATAATAGATGAATGTCTGTAATACTCTGTATCGTACATAAGGTGATTAATTTAGTTTAATTTATTGTTAGCCAGTACTCAGTAGGTTAGGCTTAGGCTATACATGTATTATATTTTAAAATTAAAAGCATGTTCTTAATAATTTCTGTATTACTATCATTGATTATAAATACTACTTAGTATTTATAATCAATGATTACTATCAAATACAAAAATAAGTTACGAACAGTTTAAATTTAATAGATAAGTAGGTATAATAATATAAATAAATTATGAAAAATACTTAGAAATCAGCCCTGTCACATCGTTTCCGCTCAGAATCATTTTTCGTAAATACATTGCATTAATTTATTATGAGATCTAAATTTATCATCTAACAGTGATTAGTGACTTAGGGCCGATCTTACCAACACAGTTGATCACGATTAAAGTTAACCGGAGTTTTAATCGGCCGAATTTGGCCTTAAATATCTGTTATCAGCCGATTAAGCGTTAACCGTGATTAACTGTGTTGGTGAATTTGGCCCTTACTCAATAACGAGGAACGCTGAACATCTACAACAGCAGAACACCTTCTATAGTTTTTTTTTTTTACATTTTTTGATTGTTTAAAGGAATAATTAACTAACAATATAAATAGATTACTGCCAACTGCATTAAAAAGATGCATACCTACCTATTACTCAGGAGCTCAGGTGACTTAAGACTTTTAAGTATAATGACTATAGTATTAATGATTAATGACTAATGAGTAGGTAATAGGTTTAGGCATGTAATAAACAGATAATAATAATTTAAGTTATACCACCTATAGTTGGGCTAGAAGTCTGCAACAGTAGTTGTGTTCAGTTGTAAACAGAATCATTTACAGAATTCTATAGATTAAATCAATCCGTGGTTGTACCTAGTCTAGTAGTCTGTTGTACTGTGGTTGTACCTTACATATCTTTAATCATTGTCTATTGGTCTGTACCACAGATATATAAAAATACTAGATAGACGACTCCCTATTCCTACCATGTAATAATTATGAAGCCAACAAAATGGCCGAAATACTCTTATCTAAGAGGTGAATGTTTACAAAATATAAATTATGATAAACTGTGATAATTTTATGGCGGGAATCAAAAACTATTAAATATGTATTACAAATTACAATATTATTAGTCATTACAATATCATACACATACATCATACATCATAAGATGTACTTATATTTTTTATTTTATAGTATGTCTTAGTCATTGACTTAAAATTAAGATTAAAAGTATAATTTATTGCAAAAAATGAGAAATACAATATAGATATAATAAACAAGTTTCAAGCTTGTCCAATAAGCACATGCTTGAATTCTAATGATCTGAGTTCATATTAAAAATGAACTAAAATGAAAATAAATTTAACTTTATGTTATGTCATATTACAACAAAATAAAGTAAAACCAAAAAGATTTAATTTTATATTAAATATAAGAGAAAATATTATTAATATATATTATCTTATACTTGGTGAAATTACAAAAATTGGTTAAATTAATAATATATTTATGTAATAACAAGCCTCTTCTAATTATTAGACGTTGAGTTCCAAAATAAATGCCATTAAATGGTATAATTAAATTACAATTATTTTATGATCTTGTATTTATAACCATACAAAGGATGGAATTTACTTGTATTAACTTTAACATACGGTATAATACAATAGGCAGTTCATAAGTTTGACCAAAAGTTCAATCCTTAAACCATGGTAAATTATATTAGTAAAATATGATTTAGGTTTTGTTAAGAATGATTTTTTATTAATTAATTTATAGTTTAGGGTACGACTTGTTGTGTAATGTGTATAGGAGTATGTGAAGCCACACATCAAAATCAAATACAACCATTAATATAAAAATCTTGATTTAAAAATAATAAACCTATGTAATAATACATTTGCATTCGATAATAATATTTTTTATACACTTCAATGTGATAATGTTCCTTTGCTAGATAGACCCCATAAGATGGTATTCATTTCATTATTAGTTAAAAAAAGATCTAAGGTATTCGACTCCATTCTTTTGGCAAAATGTTTTCAACAGAAATTTTAAATCCTGTTAGTAAAAGACAAAAATTAACTAAACAAATATTTTTTATTAACCAGTAGTAGGTATAAAATATTATATGTAGTATAGACTATAGGTACCAGTTTTATTTTAAATATTTGTATTATTATTAAATTAATTAATATACTAGTTTTGTTTTATTTACTTGAAATATTTTATATTTATTACTATAATATGTAGAACTAGTATAGATACAAATTTTGTTTTATTAATTTTAAATATTTTATGATTATTATTATACAAGGTAGTATACCAGTTTTGTTTTATTGATTTTAAATATAGTTTTTCAAAAATAATAAATGGATGTAAAATTTTTAATTAATTAATTCAGATTGTTTTTAAAAATATTTTACAATAGAACAAATTTTTATAAAATAATGTAATATTCACATGCACCATTACATAATTTACATAACTGTTGAATAAGCTAAAAGTTGATAATATGTATTTAAGACTTATGTAAGTAAGTTAAGTTATTAACATCATGAACTAAATATACAACTTTAAAGTTTAAACTTATAATTTATAATATTAAATATTGATCATATTATTATGACAAATTAAATAACAATAATATCTTTATCAGTATTATGAAAATGTAAACATTCACCTCTTAGATAAGAGAATTTCGGCCATTTTGTTGGCTTCAAAAACATTTCCAAGTTATCTATCTAGTATTTTTATATATCTGTGGTCTGTACTCTATACATAGATTATAGATATATTGATTATTGACTATACGTGATTTTATAGTTTAGATCATAATATATTATATTATATTTTATATACATACTTTAGAGTGTAAATCATGAAAACTAGAATATTAATATAGAAATATATAACAGTATAAATTCTAGTCTTCATGGTTTTCAGAATCTATCTTCATAATATAAGGATTTATTACAATTACGGCTATAGATAATAGTATCTATATCCGTGGCCCGTGATTACAATGACATTATTTTCATCAACATAAATGAACATGAAAAATTGAAAATTAAAATAATATATAATATTTAGAAATAATAAAATAAAATAAACTTATTATTAATTTGTTCGTATGAATATTGGTTTTTTTTATTTTCGTATAAATCCGAATGTCTGGGTTAGCACAAACAAATTATTATAAACAATTATTTACAATAAACAATAACACTACAACGGCAGCGACACCATATGACGATGTCATATTGTGCATTTGTGCTGCCATCTAAAATCTAAATGTTGCCGTGATCATATGTTTAAACGGCAACGTTGTATTCGACTACGTAAAACCGGAAAAAGAGAAGAAATAAGAAAAAAATATCCAATATTTGTGATAAAAAATGTGCTTTTTATCAGTTATTTAGTATTTTTTTTCTACAGCACGTTTCCATTTTTTCGGTTTTATTTTCGTATTCATTTAATTCGATCGTCAAATGTCAATACAAAATTATTCGTTGTTGGCCCATTATCGTGCAGTTTATTAGACACCTTTATATTATTTTCTTAATTTAATGTATAATATCAATGATCATCAATTCGCAGGAAACACCCAAACCTGATGAAGGTATTTTACACAATTGAGTGGGAAGGTTCGGCGTGACTAATTTGGTCGATCTGCTTGCTGTTGTTGTGACTCATTTAAACGTGCATACGCGATTTTGAGTGTGTATACTATTTTTCTTTTACAGAGAATGGTGCTCCATATGTTATATACAACAAAGATGGCCACCACCAACAAGGGCCAAACAGCAGTAATGGTCAGTGGGGTCCAGGGACTTCACAAAACGGTTACCCAGCTCTTGTATCATCTCAGCATGAACCAGCTGAACAATCGACCGAACAGGCATCTCAATCAACGATTGCTTCACCTTTACCATCACCATACCCTAATACCAATCATTCAATTCAAGGTAGGTAGAACAAGTAGTTTATCCAATACAAATATAACCTTATTTAAATATTTTGTATAGGTTCTGGAAATGGTGGAGAAGATGAAACACCACCAGAAGACAATGTCGTTGAATCTGATCGAACCCAACCAGGCCATTATGGTCCGGCCGACCCTTCCAATTACTATTCAGGTGTAAGAGGAGGCCCTCCACATATGTTGAGTCCATCAAGTTTCATGTCCTATTTAAAACAGCCTGGTGTCATGTTAACTCCGTTAAATCCAGCAGAAGCATCTGGTGATTTTCCTAATATGCCAGACCTTATTCATCAACAACAAGAAGCATCAGGGAAAAAAGGTTCTGATCTGCGTCTATTCAAATGTCTTTCATGTGGCAAAGACTTTAAACAAAAGGCTACGCTAATGCAACACGAGCGCATTCATACTGACTCAAGACCATTTGTGTGCAGTGATTGCGGTAAACGGTTTCGTCAACAGTCTCATCTTACGCAGCACGTGCGTATCCATGCTAATGAAAAACCATTTGTATGTGTTTACTGTGAGCGAACCTTCAGACAGCGAGCAATCCTCAACCAGCATCTACGGATTCATTCGGGTGAGAAACCGTACGGGTGTGGAGACTGCGGCAAGGCGTTTCGGCAGAAAGCCATCCTGAACCAGCACGTCCGCACTCACCAAGGCGAGCACTCTCATTCCTCGTTAAATAGTAGTGATTCCTCAAGTTCACCTCCGCCCTCGCAACTTCACAATAATTTAAACGCTTTTCTCAAGTCTTCAGCTGAAGCGTTTAGAATGAAATACTACCCGAACTTAAGCGATAGCGCACAAGACGAACAACACTTGAACAACTCTAATTTTAGAAATGTTGCTTCTAGATTGTTACAAAACAATCTTAAAATTAAGCAGTTAAATTATTCTTCCTATAATTCTTCATCTAACAGCCCCAAAACTTCTCTTAACTTGTTTAATATACCTTCAAGATCTTACCCTAGGACTATTGTTAGGACAAATATTGCTCATATCAGAAATGAAGAAGGTCTCCCCATGAGAGTTGTAACTGAAATTGAAAAAAAATAAATTCTGACCCATGTTAGGTCAATACATGCAAAAAATCCTAAATTAAGTACTGTTTTCAGGATGGCTTCAAAAAAAAGTTTCTCTGCATCCGTATGATAAAATATTATGCTACCTATTATAATTGCTGTTTACTAATACACGTTTTACTGCCTATTGTCACTATTTCTCAACGTATTAACATTTTTTTTTTAAATTAATCAGATGTTATGTGCTTTTTAAATAATGGAGTGATATTTTAAACCACGCCTGATCTGTTTTGATAAAATGATAAGTTAATTTGATCAACATCCTTAAAAATGTTCTTATTATTATAATTGTTTTTTTTTTCAATATTTTTTAATATAATTTGTAACATTATATTTTTCTTGTAAATACAACAAAAGATATTAATTATTTTATGAATAATTAATATCTAGTATTATTTAGATTGTCTATTGAAAGTTAATTATGATGTACAATAAACAATTTAAATTAAATAAAATTAAACGTGGAAAATGATAACAATAGGCCTGAATATATTTTATTTTCAGTTAAAATTTATTTTCCACTTATTGTTAGTATTATAATTTATAGTTAATTCCTTAACTTAATTTACATTTATTTTGTCGTATTTATGTTTTTTTTGAAAATTATTTTATCCTTATAATATATTAAATAGGTATATTTCCTTTCGTGTTATTCCTTTTTTATGCTTACAGTTTTGAAATTGAAAGACAAATATAAAATGAAATCCTATTCCTTGTTATTAATGTCGAGCACAACTTGAAAAACAAGAAACATCATTTATGAAACTTATTCATTGAAGTGATGAGTTTTAAAGGTATTATTGTGTTGTCTGTCTGGTGGCTTCAATCCGGTTCGGAGCGGCATGTTCTTTTAAATTAGTTACGCTGCACATGGATTATTGGTGACAACGTCCAAGGAGAAAATGTCGCTCCGCTCAAGGAAGGTGAGATAAAGCTCCATTCGGCAACACAGGAGTTTTATGTCTACAAAATTAAACTTTTAATTTAGTTAAACTATTTTAAGTTAAATGAGGGAATATTAAGTTAAACCATTAAAATTAAAATTGTGTGACTTTTTTCTTTCGTTTATAACAAGTAGACATAAAACTGTTGAATATTTTACATTGTATGAAATATTTTTTTTATGATATCTTAAATTGAATTTAATATGATTTAATTTTTAATTAAATATTTTTGTGTTCGACAATCATTTAATTCCTTTTAACATTTGTTGAGTTTCTAATATTAACGCTTGAATATTTATTTTCAGTCCTAAAATTAAAATTTGAACACAAATCATTTTCTTTTCTCGACAGGCCTAAATGAGAATCCTAATTCTAAACTTGTAGAAGATTTGATATAAATTTTTTAAAAAAACTGAGGTTCTCATTTTTATGATATTTTTAAATTTTTTAGACGTTGGTCCACACTTAGTGTATAAAAATGGGCAACTTTGGCCACAAGATGTGCCATTGCCGCAATCTAAAAGTGGACAATATGATTCAAATGATTCGTGTTTTTCTCCAGAAAATGCTCCTCAGTTTCCTGCATATTTTAAAGATGCCAAAGGTAACCAAAATCAATTGGCTTTTATTGTTATGAATTAATATATGTATTTCTCTTTAGGTGTTGTGCATGAAATTTTTGGCCAGGCTGGTAAAAGTCTACCTGATGTAATCCAACATGGCCGCAGTGCTGGCATGCCACTTTATGTTCGTTGTCCAATTTGTAATAAAGAATTTAAACAGAAATCTACTTTACTTCAGCATGGTTGCATTCATATAGAATCTCGACCTTACCCATGTGTTGAATGTGGTAAACGATTTCGACAACAGTCACACCTCACCCAACATCTACGTATACATTCAAATGAAAAACCGTTTACGTGCATTTATTGTGGACGAAATTTCAGACAACGTACTATACTAAATCAACATTTACGTATACATACTGGTGAGAAACCATATAAATGTTTGCAATGCGGCAAGGATTTCAGGCAAAAAGCTATCCTTGATCAACATACAAGAACTCACCAGGGAGAAAGGCCATTTTGCTGTCCAATGCCAAACTGCCGTCGTCGGTTTGGTACCGAACAGGAAGTTAAACGTCATATTGATAACCATATGAACCCTCATGCGAATAAGCGTAGATCCGATAGTGGTAAACCAGGCAGGCCACAACTTAAATACTATACTCAATCAGCCAACGGGCATTGTGAAACCAGAGTTATACTTCCCACAGTGCTATGCAATGCCATCACCTTTTGCAAACCACCATCATCCCCAACAAAGTTTTGTATCTTCTTCTCCGGTTAATCATGTTCCTCCACCTCCCCCAGAATTTAAAGGTGCAACAGTAGTTAACAATACAACAGATTTTAAGTCCCCTGCAAACCCTACAACTGCTGCACCAATAGCAGTTGTTCAATAAAAATTGAGTTTAGAAAAAAGTGTATGGTTACTTGTCAATTATGATTAGTACATAAAAGTGGTGAATGTGATATATTCTGAACTTTTGAATGGATAATTTAATTATTTTTGTTAATGAAAAAACAGATTTAGTCCGTGAAACATTAGTTGGGAAGTTGTTTGTCAAAAAGACCTAAACTCTTGCGTTACCATGTTATTTTCTCTAAAATATTCTTAAACTAATACATGTTACCAATAAAATATAAAACACAAAAACATAAAACTATATGGTCGTGTTTCTGTGTATATAGTTTAACAGATTTAAATTAATGAAAAATATTTAAATATTTTTCCCTTAACATTTTTAATTTTGTTATAGAATTTAAATTTTTTGTTATTTTTCTTCATATTTTATGTTTTTTTTTTTCGATAGACTAAATCTTACCTTACCTACTCAAAAATATGTCTTATTATTGGTTAAATATTATTATAATCTTCAATTTAAAATTCAACTAAAAATTATTTATTATCCTACCATTCAAATAACTTAATGTTGAAAAATGTGGATAAATACTAAATAGATACCTATTTTTGTACTTTCTTCATTAATTCAATAGTCATTCTAATTGTAAAACTTAGGATAAAGTAAATTATATTCACAATACCATACTTCTGCTAATATTGTAAAATAATATTTAAAACTATGAAGACTATATTAGTCTATTCTTTATTTCCAAAATTATTTATTATATTATGTACCATTTTGCTCATTAATTATTACATTAGGATCAGTTTAATACCTACCTAATGGAATTAGTAAACTTGCTAACCATGTATGTATCTTTAAACCGAGAAAAATGTATGCTATTCAGTGTTCTTTGTATGATCATATTTTTGTTTCCCGTTTAAACAAATGTTTTGTAAATATGATAAAAATCAATAGATTAAACAAACATTAAAATGTATATATTATTATGAATGTATACGTTTAAGAGGTTATAATTATTTTAAAAATAAGATTTTTTAATATTTATTATTTAAAATTAGAATAGCCCTATGATATAGGGAAATTTATTTATTTTTTTTACCTATCAAATTTGTTAAACCACAGGTTATGTGTTTTGTCTAAAAAAAATGCATATTATAATGAAAAATAAATTATGTGCTATTGTAATAGCAGTATTGTATAATGTAACATTCTTGTGAATCTTTTATTTTTATATTCAGTTGTTTCAAATGTGACAACAAAAAATATTTGTGATTCCAAAAAATGAAAATTATATTGTATAACCAATTAAAAATACAAATGTGCTTCTTCAACAATTTTATCTTCCTTTCCTATAATCGAAATACAAACTTTAAATTTAAACACCAACCTTCAATGACATACCTATGGATGGTTAACCACCCTCCCCCCCCCAGATAAATCAAGTCTTATTCAGAGTTGTAGGTACCTATATAAAATTATTGTATAAACTCGTCAATAAAATAAATTATTTATGTAATATTCTTTTAAATATACTCAAGTAGTTACCTATTTTAGTATATTATTTGTTATCCAGATATTTATTAGTTGCTTATAAACATTTGTATAGAATATATTTTAATGTAATATCATATATCTCTGAGGTGCAACTACTTGGTTGTCTCTCATGTCTTCATGTATATTATTTGATTCTGTTAATTATTCATCTAATTTACTTAATGTGCTATACTGCTATTATTATTATATATTATAAATATATTTTTAAATAAAAAATGTTTAGTAATTGGGAAAATTATGTAGAAGCAGAGATGCAGATGCAGTAATATACATGTTTAAAGTTCCTCAAACCAGTGGCATAAACAGTGAGTTTAGTGTTTGTAACAACCTCCCCCCTGAGCCATATTTATACCATGTACATATTTAATTAGTGCTCCAGATATATTAAAAAAATATGTTGTCATATTATACATATGGTTTTATTTCATGTTAGATAATATTATTATGAAAAGCATGATTTAAAATAATATAATAATTAATAATGATATAATCATAAATCGTAACGAACTAATGAAGACTGATGAGTACAACGAATTGTGTGAACCCCCACAAGTTATATTTAAATTTAAAAAAACCCCCTGAAAAAAAATTCTGTTCTAACTTTAGGTATCAGAACAAAACCAAGATGTAATTAATATAAATAATAATGTGGGTACCTACTTCATACTTATATTATACTCTGTTCCACAATATAACATGCTGGTTCTGCGCATCCCCTTACGTTACCCTGCTGTCGAAACTGGTTCCCCTATGCCAGGGTGTGGCTTGGAGGAACCAGTTTTGGTCGGTGCGTGGGATGATCTCTTGTGGACCAGAGTATAATACTCTTGTAATTATATGATAAATTGATAGTTGTTCTTTAAATCCTAATAGCTGAAGTGGAGGATATTGGAAAGTGAATTTAGAATGGTTAACATTCAAATGTTGTATATAAATCATAAATTACATAAAAAAAAATATATTTTTTATTGATATTAAAAGTATTTGTCAACAAGATCAGCTTAGGTGGTCTAAAATTAAAGTATTAAAGAATAAACTAAATAA